GCCTCAAAAAGGCATTTGGCGCCACTGAGGCCTCCCAAATGGTCGTAGTTTAAGAAGAAGAACAAGATCAAGGGATGCATCCCGATGAGCTCCCACTCGACCTTCTGCCCGCAATATTCACCGTGATGGTCCAAGAGGGAATTATCTACCCTCGTTCGTTGTGGAAACCCAGACACATAATTTAGGGGACTAAGGATCTTTGGTGCTCATACCATCAGATAGTGGGTCACGACATATCTCAATGCTTCGGTATCCAAGCCTTGATAGAAGAGAAGATAAAAAGGGGGCGAATTGCTGTGGAAGTCTCAATTCTGGGTCAAGATTTGCTTGTCCAAGAACCAGACCCAACGGAATGAAAAGCCACTCGAGTAGCCTTCACAAGAAAGTGCACCTCTCGAGTTCCCCAACATTGACAAGCCTTCTACTTCGCAGCCCTAGCAGACTTACAGGGGGTGAAGTATGATGAAGTCCATGAAGAGCGAGGCAATTTGCCAAGAAAATGTGGTACCTAGACCTCATGTGCCCCACTGGTCTGTTCCTATCAATAAGAAAGGAAATGATTGGTAGGTCACGTGAGTTACTCGCCAAAGAAGAAGAATACCATAACCCCATGTTGAAAGCGTATTCCTCCCACCTATCCTGCCTTTGCCAACTTTCCAGGACTTCCTTCTCGAAACAGTCGCATCATCCAGCCGTAACCATGCTCTAGTCTTGCGCACCAAAATTATCCCAGAGGGAATGGCTACCTATGTCTCTACTCACACGTCTAATAAAGGTGAGGACTTAAAAAGCACCCCTCAATGGTCCAAGTAGGGTAAAGATCTAAAAGATCCCCTGCAAACATCCAACAAGGGTTATGACATTAAAAGATCCCCGATCATATCCAATGAGAGTGAAGACTTTAAAATCCTCTTTGAGTCCAATACAGGTGATGACCCCCAAAAGCTACCTTAGCTCGGTCCAACTTGAGTAACGACCCTAAAGCTCTCCCCCTTCTTCTATCCCTGACTCTTCAAGCCCTTCTTCTCTCATCTCATCTCTCTCAAGAATTACTGTTGAATGCCCAGACTTTGAGGGTTGATGAAGAGCTTAAGAGCTGCAATACCTAGTAAGCGGCATCACAAGCAATTAAAGAAGATGGTAGCACAAGCAATCAGATTCTTAATGGTTGTTGATGCGTTGGCCTCCAGGTCAAAGAAGAAGCCCCTCCCCACTCCTGAAAAGTTGATTGAGCCGTACCAAAACCCGAGACCCAAAACGTCTCGATGGCCCCCTGAGCCTAACCCGACGTCGCAATGGAAAGATACGAAGGGCAAAGCTACTCTTCTCATGAAACATGCCACATGGTGCAAATCACTAAGGGAGTGTTCAATGTCAGTCAGATCAATCTGAGATCTAGGAGGAAGTTCTAACCACTCATACAAAAATCGAAACTCTTGAAGTACCCAGGTCCGCCACTGATACCATACGCAAATGCTCCAACCAATCCACCACCCCTCCTCAAATACCATGGGCCACCATTTGCTCCATATCGAAACCCATCCCCAGCATTCCTCATGAACCCTCAATTCCATCGCCACCTACCCCAGCTATGTCAACCAACCAGTCTGCATCCATTCTCGATAGTCCATCTAATTAACCTACACCCACCTCGGCTGCACAGTCAAGCCAGCTTACCCAACCCCCCTTGGCTGCTCAATCTATCCAATCCACGCCTCCTCAATCTACCTTGGTTGTGCAGATGAGCCAACCGACATCCGCAAACAACCCTCCTAAACCTTTCCCACAAAGACCAGTGGCGAACCGGGAGTCGATGAACCCGATGATGACAAAGTCAAATATGATGTAATTGGACACTTAAGAAGACTCTCTGCCCTACTGAGTGTTTATGATGCTCTCATGATATCAAGAGACAATCGTATGGCTCTCATACATGCTCTTTCCCATCTCGAACAGTACAAGACCGAGGTTGAACGGATCAAAGTAGACAAGAAAATCCTTAACAACTGCATGACCATCACTTTCTCTGATGATGACCTTGATTTGGGTGGTAAATTCCACAATTGACCCCTCTTCATGACTGGCAAGTTAAATTCCCATTCTTTCAGCCGGATAATGCTCGATTGACGTTTTGCGGTAAACCTCATCCCAAGAGTTCTCACTCGCATAGGTCTGGGACCTGAAGATCTCATGCCAACAACCCTAACAGCTCAAGGGTTTAATCAGTCAGGAGAGAAGCCAGCTGGCACCATCCGTCTCAGTCTTAAAATAGGTGATTTGAACGATTACGCTCAATTCCATGTGATCAAGATGGATACCTCCTATAATGTCCTATTCGGTCGCCCCTGGATGCATGATCAAGGGGTGATGCCGTCTACGCTGCATCAGCATTTCAAGTATAGTCAGGATGGGAGGCAGTATATTGTTTATGCTGATAAAAGACCTTTTCTCATAGGTGAGATCCATTATGTCTCCTCAGGAAACTGTGACGGCTGTAGAAGCCAATAATGCGAGAAAGGCAGAGGGGTCGTCCCATGACGATGTATAAGATGTTGGAAGAGCGCTCCTTAGCATGTTCCAAGAGTAGGCGAGGAATGGAAAGATACTCCCTTTAACTTCAATTCATCTGAATGTTCCATGTTCCCTCTTTGAGGAACAACCCGGGCACTGTGAGGAACAAACCCCATGCCTTATTATCTTGATTCCAGAATTGCACATAGTGACAATGGAATTGGAACCCGTCGCAAAGCATGGTGAGGTCATGGACATCAACACTCTAGCACCCAAGGTCACCTACATACCAGATTGCCAAAAAGTCTGGCATATTCTTATTCCCCTCTTAAAGACATAAGCATCAAAGAGGACCATCAAGGCCAGCCAAGCCGATCGCCAAGTCTTGCATATCCCAGCTTCTATAAAAAAGGAGGACAACACTTACCCTACCCAAGGGTCCGCCTACGTGTGTGATTTTCAAAAATTCTTGCACATCTTAGATTCCTTGATTCACCTAGTCACAATTGGGGCTTCATCATTAGCAGCTCAGCTTCCTAGTGACGCCCCTCTTCCTCAGCTTGACCACATGGATTAGGCCACCATTGCCGATCTAAGGAAGCAAGCTCAAGAGCTCCTTGGTCAACTTGAAGTCATCAGGAAAGGGAAGGCTAAGAAGGAAGAGGCCCCTCTGAGATTTACAGCCTCGAAGCCATTGCTGGGGTTCATTTTGGAGACCCAAAATCCTAAAGTCCTTGGGGCCTCTAAAGGTCCACCCTATAAAGATGCTAAGCGGCCTCTATAGCCACCAAGCCCATCAAATTATAAGGAAAATGAATTATGGGCCCATGACCAGTCAAGGGCTAAAAGATGGCAAAGGGATGATTGCCCCATTCAAAGACACAAGAAAGGGAGTCGGGTATGTCAGCACTTCTCACCCCTCTACCTAGCGACATGAGGCCTAACAAACAATCAATATGCCATCCCTTCTCGGTGCATCATCACCTCTGCCATCGAGAACTTCTCTCTCGGACCATACACCCTAGCATTACTGTCCCGGAGGCACGACCATAAACATGCCCTCAGGTCTTAGTGTGCAACCTTAAAACACGCTGCCATTACGGTCCTGTCGGCGTGACCTTAAAGTTGCCTCCTCAAAAGACGGACATGACGAAAACTTGAAAGGGTGTCTTGGGTATGAAAGTCAAAAGAAAAAGAAAGAAAAATGACGGGGCACGATAGCACCATCAGCTATAGTGAGTAAAAGACGTCAAAAATAAACTAAAATAAAAAAAAATCGGCACGATGAGAATCCAAGAGGGCATCGTGAATAAAAATGAGAAAATGGTAGATATGGTGCAAAAACCATGGGCAAAAGCACCACAAAAAAAAAATCTTTTATGGGGTTTTGCGAAAACCAGAAATAGTGCGAAGCCTAAGGGCTTGAACAAAAACCCGAAAGGGCGTTTAAGTCAAAGACACACGGAGGGCAGATGTGTCCACTAGAAGGGACTTCAAGAGACAATAATTGAGACCAAATGAATGCAAAACATAAAAGCAAAAGAAGGCAGATCAGTCTTAGTAAAAGATTCTTGTATTTCATTCCATCAGTTTCGTCAGAATTCATGTACAAGAGAAAGAAAAAGGTGGTAAAGAAAGATGAAAGGAAGACCGCTCCTAGAAGCGATCAACAGTCTCATTGATCTTCGCTCTCGCTACCTCAATACACGAGATGGCCCTCTATGCGCGCTTCTTGAGATCAGTCACTGCTTGAGCAATTTGGGTCATAGAGGTGGTTCCTGACTCGATGCTACAGTCGAACCCTAACAGCTCGTCGGTCAAGACCTGATTCTCTGCTCTCCAACGGTTCATTTCCTTCTCGAGCTCATAAAATTCATTCCTCAACTTCTGAATCTCCACATTCAAGTCCCTCATTCTGGCCAAGCGGGCCGACCCCTGCTTGTTAAAGTTAAATTTCTGGGAAGCCAGGGTAGCCCTCCTCTGCACGCACCCATCCACATCTTTGTGATGCTGCGTGAGCGAAGCTTCTAAGGAGGCCAATTCAACACCCTACAGCTCGGCCACCTCTACCTCCTTCCTCTGAGTCTCCATTCTCCACTCATCTAGCTCATTCAAGAGGTTGTCAAAATAAGAGAAAACTTCCTTTTCACCATTTATGGAGCTCAGTGAGAGAGCATAGCCACGAAGTTTAACAATTTCAGGGCCGAGTTCCGCAAGGGGAGCCCTTTTAATAGCTGAAGACCCGACCGTAGCATGCCTAGGACCAGGGTAGATTTCACACTGAAGCATGCCTAGGACCAGGGTAGATTCCAATTTGTTAATGACGTGGTAACTTTAGACAATACATACCAAACAAATGAAAACAGTATGCCCTGTGGCCCAATCCTTGGAGTTAATCATCACGGTAACACAATTTTCTCGGATGTGCTCTCATCTTCAATGAGACTGCAGAAACCTTCATTAGGTTATTTGAGAATTGGCTAGAGGCAATGGGAGGCCGCCAACGAGGTACAGTTATCACTTATCAAGCTTTAGCGATAACGGCTGCAGTTAAGAGAATTTTCCTGAATACTAATCATCACTATTACAAGTGGCACATCATGGGAAAGTTTAAAACACATCTAAGCCATGTTGAGCGCGCACACCCATTATTCTTAGAGGTATTCAAGAAGTGTATTGCAGCCTACACAATTGAGCATTTTGAGGGCGATTGGTTGGCTACGATTCAGAAATATGATCTTCAAGAGGAAAGTTGGCTCAAGTTGTTATATGGTTGTCGCACTCAATGGGTTGATGCATACATAGTTGATAGGTTCACAGCCGGCATGAAAACCACACAACGAAGGGAAGGGTTTAATCGTCATTTAAAGATGTTTGTCGCTTCTGGTACAGGTTTGCAAAACTTCATGAATACTATTGAAAAGTTGCAAAACAATAAGTTCATCAAAGAAAAAGAGAAAAACTGTAAAGATCTTACATCCACACCTATTCTAATAACAGCCTTCCTTATCGAGGAGCATGCAGCAAAGACATACACTCAAAAAGTATTTAGAAAGTTCCAAGAAGAGGTAGTAAGGTCCTCAAATTGCCTTAGCAAGTTAATAGAAGACAATGATGACTTTGCCAAATATAAGGTGAAAGACATTGGTGGTGTATCAATCCCTCGGACTGTTACATTCATTGAATCAGAGAAGAAGTGTACATGCTCATGTTAGTTCATTGAGCATGTTGGGATCCCTTGTTCACATATGCTCAAAGTATTCAACATGAGGAATGTACTGAAGATCCCATTTAACTATATTTTGAGCCGTTGGACAATGGATGCAAAGAAGGGTGTCAAAGACAAATGTCGTCCTAGTAGTTTGACTATATCTAAATTTCCGAGTTTCATTCGACGTCATGAGCTTTATGAACTGGTGAGACCAATTATAAAGCCAGTATTAGAAAATGATGATCTATTTGAAAAAGTGAAGATGGGTTTCTCAAAGTTAGTAGAGGAGGTCAATGCAATAAGAGTCATTGTCGAATACTCATACACCATCATCTTCCACTCATTGCAGTACTGCTTAAGATGAAGTATGTGGAAATACTAGATCAGTTGATGCCTCCTCCCTTGTACTCGATCCAGCATGTGCACGAGCAGTGGACGACCAAGGACTAAAAGGATAGAACCTTCATGGGAGGAAAGGCCACCCACTGGAAGAAATTGTAAAGTTTGCAATAAGAATGGACATGACAAGTGTAACTATCCAGTGAGGGCGTGTGGAATGTAGAGCTACCGAGGACCTCAAACCGAGTTGAGGCCATGACAAATGAAAGGGCTGCAATTGCATGGAGGATATGACAAATTGCGAGACTGCATTCGCATTGAGGATTTTTTAAATGGTATTTTTGTATTAACAAATGTTTTGAATTTTGGAGACATGTAAAAACCCATTTTTTTAGTTGACTTTAGGGGTTATATAAATATTCAATGAATTTTGCGGGTATGTAAAAGACCTATTTATGGGGCATGTAAAAGACTTGACAAATTTGTTGAATTTTGGAGACATGTAAATACCTCTTTTTGTACTTGACTTTGGAGATTATGTGAATATTCAATATTCATCTAATTTTGTGGGAATGTAAATGACCCCTTTATGAGAGCAAGTAAAGGACCTCTTTATGGGGTATCTAAAGAACCTATTTGGTAACTTTTTTGTAATATATGTGTAACATTTATTTCTTTTCCATGTATGTCATTAATGTGTGGAATGTGGGTTTACTTGGATAATTAAATACATTTATATCCCCACAGTTCTCATTTTATTTTAATTTTTTTGTCAAGCGTTTGATACATTCTCACATTTTACCACACCATAGGTAGTGCATAATAGCTTTATAACCATCACGGACATACTTTGGATAACCAACTCTCTCCCATAGGCCATAGATTTGAATGATCTCTCTCTCTCTCTCTCACTCTCTCTCTCTCTCTCTCCCTCTCTTCCTCTGTTTATGTATGTGTCTCAAAAAAAAAAACCATAAATTGAATAATACCAAAAACCAGAGAATTTCATTCACAAAATATTACCATTAATTAAACAAAGACCAATTACCATCATTTACAAACCACTGGAAAGCTACAAGGAGGTTAAACACCTCATGAAATAAGAAAAAGCCAGATACAAATGATTCTTGAAAAAAGCTAATCCAATTGAGCTGACTCAACCACCAACATGTAATTTATTTCTTTTTGCCTCTACAAGTTTCACTCTTCCATTCGAATTATGTAGCGAAGGCCGTCCCATTTGAGCATGTATTCAAACAACTTATTGATCTCTGAGAATGATACTAAATGTCTAATGAACTTCTTCATGTGACGTGTACCTTCTTCATGTATTTGTCAACAATAGATGGAAGATCAGAATGTCACTTATAGTTTCCAAAGAATACTCCTTTGAGAGTCCTTTCATTGAGTACATTCATTGGGCGTGTCTTGAACGCTGCATCCTTGTAAAGAACCCCAACAAGCACAGTTACACAGCATCCTTCTTCATGTATTTATGGTACATGACCAAGAAACATTTAAACAAAAAGAAAAAGAAATAAGTGATAGCACATATCAAACAAGCACTGGAAGCACGAAATAGTTGTTGTACATTGTAATTAAAAGAGAAACAAGTAATATCATCATATTCGTCATCCAAGCCTGATCCCAAATTGTCTGGGGTTGGCTAGAGGACATAATGTACTCTCTAGAAGAAAATCAACAATTTTGACATGTTACTGTAGGAGGCTGGAATGTGGCTACCAGTGAACTGGTTATTATCAAGTTGGCTGTAAAACAATTAGAAACAAACATTATATACTCAAATGCAAAAAATATGTGAACGGCCTGCTCCACTATTAGAATGCAAAAAAATTAGAAACAAACATTATACCATCGGAGTGATATAAATAGTGAAATGGAAGAGATGCACAATTCTCTGTACCCTTTAAGTGTAAAGTATAGCACACCTTGGTTGCTCCACTATTCATTCAAGCAAACACTAAAAATTTGATAATCATGATGTGTAACTGTAAAAATTTGAAAAGGAGTACAAATTTGCTAAGTTATTAGACATACATGATCTCTCCCTCTCTCTATATATATGTGAAAACCATTTTTCTCTCAAGTCCATGCATCTTGATATCGAGATGATCAATTTGAGGATATTTGGGCATTAAAACTATTTTTGATGAATATCACAAAATGTAACTTTTTCCAAAAAATAGACTGCAAACTTAATAAATCCACCCTTCACAACTCTCTTTATCCTAACCTTTGTAATTTGAAGGGTTATAAACTTAAAATTACAAAAGTTAAAGATAAAGAGAATTGTGAAGGGTGGATTTACTAATTTTGCAGTCTAGTTTTTTTAAAAAAGTTACTTTTTGTGATATATTCATCATTAAAGGCAAGTTTATAAATATTACTACAGAACAAAGGGTACTTTTGTCATCTCCATAAAGGGTAAAGTTGAAATTTTTACTAAAAGATAAGGGAACTTTACAAATAAAATTTTGGGACACTTACATCCAAAATTGCAATGTACTTTTTAATATTTCAAATTTTCCCGTCCTTAATAATTCAGTCACCTGCTAAAATAATTTTTTAAACAAAAAGTAACCATCTTTTTGATATAAACACCCATCACAAACCCTTCTAATTTTAACCTTTGTATTTTGAGCGATTGTTAACTCTAGACAAATCATATATATATATATATATATATATATATATATGAAAAGATGTTGTGTGCCCAGGTGTGCACCGCTACAATAAACGCCCACGACCCAAATTGAATCTGGACAGATCTAACGATCACGGATGTTCGATAGTATTTAAATTTTAATTTTTTTTTCCAAATCCAAATCACTTAAAATTTTTGGCGTGTGTTCTTAAAAAATAGGTGAATCTACAAAAAATATTAAAACAAAAATTACATGAAATAAATTGATTAAAATACCCCCGAAAGTATTCAAGAGGTATTTTGATTAATATTGTTTCCACGAATTTTTTTTATATATATTTTTATTAGGTGCATCTTGATGAGAAGAATACACGACTAAAATTTTACGTGATTTGGATTTATAAAAAAAAATTTAAAATTCAAACACTATTGGACATCTGTGAGCGTCAGATCGGCCATAGAAAGACCCAGATTGAATATGGGCCGATTTGATGATTACGGATGTCCGATGGTGTTTGAATTTTAATTTTTTTCTAGAACATAAAAGATCTATGCTTCCCCTACCGTCCAGCCATCCAATTTTGATCAAGTAAGCCACTCTTCATTTGATTTTAGATCCAACGCTTCAGAGTATTTTATTTTTTATTTTTTTATACAGAGTGTAAGAATATGAAATTTGATACGTGTTATCTTCTCATTGGGGCACACCTACAAAAAAATATTCGAAATAATTTTTCGTTAAAATGCAATGATCAAAATGCCCCTAGAATTATTCAAGGGTATTCTAGTCATTTATTTTATTGATAATATGTTTATAATAGTTTTTATAGGTGCAAGTTTAATAGAGGAGTGGACCTCCAAAATTTGGTGTCAAAATAATTTGTATATAAAAAACTAAAAATAAAATAGTGTAGAGACATGACATTGTCAGTAGGGTCATCTCAGCCATCCATTCAGAATGGACGATTGGATAAGGGAAGCACATCAGGTTTAT